ACCGCACTTCGAGTGTAGTTTACGACGGCCTTTCTAACAATGTATTTGAGGTTTGTAACAGTGCATTTAAAACTAAAATTCTACTAAACGTCCGAAAAAGAAAATCTTTCAATGTCAAAAATTTCGGGTATGCATTGAAACCAGTGGTTATCATTTTTTTCGAGAAAGAAACTGCACTAAAAAGTAGCTTATCTTGTAGAGCACAATTTTCCCTCTCGAATGGTATCTCACGAAATACATTTGAAGTTATAGTGAGCCCACAGTGGGCGATGGAAAAAAGTGGTTGGATAATTTTAACGCATGAAAAATTTGATATATGTTTTTTTTGGTTTAATAAAAATGAACAATACAAAGTTCTGATGGAAGACTAACCACAAACATACTAGAGACGATGGGCTACAAACTTTATGCTACAAAACAACAGTTGAGAAGATTCCTCTACATCACGTGACTAATAGTATTTGATTTTGCCATTAGTCTTTTATGTTGGACTGCTGTTACACTATCGAGTGCTGTTACGTATAGGCTTCGAAACTCGTCCAATGATACCATTTACTGGTATGCCGTCAATAAGTGAGTGAGATTTAGTTAGCTCTCAAATATCACTTTAACAAACTGTCAACGTCTAGTTTTATGTGATCAAACTCCTTTGTATGTTGTTTGCGACAATTATGAGGGTTTCAGTGATGATTTTTGAGCTGAAAGGAGGGAGAGATTTGTAGAATTGACAGATGACTTTACATAAACCCCGCTAGCTTCTGCGGCGAAGTACAAAGATATTTTGTCCAAGTAAATTGAAACAATAAGGGCTGAAGATTCGCAGTCTTACACGCAACGAATAATTGTTGAAAAGGATTTTGAGGACGACTTCAATTCCTAGAATGAATCCACACTTTACAGCTGTCTTAACTTCTTTGAAATGTCATTTGATATGGATCTGAATATATCTGACGGATGGCTAGTCAAACAGCATTGCTCAGTAGTAGTTCGCCCCAATCTGTATGCTTTGAAAGATATGATCTCACGTAGATTGCTTCGTTACATCACTACATTTTCATTCCATGGCCGATGAAAGTAGAAGAATTTTTAAAGATCAATGTGCCAAAAAAGAATGCACTATGACAGCTGAAAGTTCTTTTTCATTGGGGTGTTAGATGGAGGGAGTCAATAAGTCCCATCTTTAGTGAACATCCAAGATGGATGATTCCTATGATGTACACATTCCGATTTTTTATTGCCGATCTATCTTATTTTAATCTTATTTACATTTAACGCCGTTTAAACGCATTAACACGATTACCTGTCGCATTATAATTTTAAGCTTTTCCTGATTAACTCGCTTTAATGTACCTTTTTCTTCCTTTCTCCTTCTAAGCTCACTATACGTTCTTTTTTATACATTTTAAGGCGCACATATGGCGAAAGCCGCTTGCGCAACCGTTCTTTTTTCTTTTTCAATAAAAGGTTCATAAAAAAAAACAAACATTACAAGCTGTATCATGTATACACATACGTTTTAGAACGGAAGACGAAAATAGAAGAAAACAGTATGATAAGCAGATTGAAGAGAAAATAAAAAAAGGGAAGAGTCCACAATATTCAGATAACAGGTGATCAAACAGAAGCATGTAACGCGGTAGATATGAAAAGTAACAGAAAGGAAAAGAATGCAGAAAGTGTCTACTAGGAGAAGAAAGTTTGTTACTAGAATAAAAAATTTGCATATGTCAGTATTGAAAGCGCTCCGTGTCCTCAATGAACTTTAAAACGAAGAGATACAGAGTTCTCATATCTTTTTCTTTTAAAGTGTTGTTGTTTCAAAAAGTATATGGTTTCTTGTTATAGGTTCACTGATTACCTTTCTGAAATTCTTCTAACATAGTTTTTTTCATATTATCATAGTGAATGTACTCTAAAATGAAGATGTTAATTCTTTCTCGTTGATGTCCGCAGGTACGAGATGCATTGTTTATTAATTTTCTTTTCTCGAGACAGTTATTTAGTTAACAAAAATCAAGTTGGAATTGTGGAAATAATTTAATAAAGTAAAATAACCATCGGCGAAAATGAATTTTGCACCTTTTCAATAAACAATCATAATCAGTAATAATTTTAGTGTTTGCATTAGATACAATAATAAATTTAACTGGGATGCGATTCACAATTCTATCCTAAAAAAACTAATGAATGCCTCTGATCGAAAAGTCCAAGTGAGATTGACAATTATTCCGACACAATTACTAAAGATGAAAAGTCCACTCAACAAGAACATGCTGAAGACACCTCTCACTTTATTTACAACACTTTACACAAAGAAGGATACTGTAGTTGGTTAAGTTTTGATATGAGCAGAGGTTTTGATAAGGTGGATCACAGCATTCTACTTGAAAAATTAGCGAAGATAGAAATAATGAACAACATTATAGCATGGTTATCATTGTACTTGAGCAACCGAACTCAGTGCGTTAAAATCGACAATATTTTTTCTAATGTAATCAACGATTCTTCTGATGTGCCCCAAGGGTCAATCCTGGGACTCTTACTCTTTATTATTTTCATCGCTGACTTAAGTTCCATCTGTATTTCAGCGTGTTTATACAGTCTTTTCGTGGATGATCTCTTCGTTGCTCTTCCTTTCTATGTTCAGATAGTAAGCAGTTTATTGAGTCAATAGTTCACAATGACATAAACAAAATCTTTAGATGGTGCGGCAACAATAAAATAGAACTAAAGATCAATAAGTGTTCGTATACGTATTTCTCTTTCACTAGTTCTTCAACACAATCTCTACTGTTGCAAGTAGCAGCTAGAGCTCTCACCATTGACTTTCACCTTAAACTATTAGGCCTAATCTTTTCGAGCGATATGATATGATCAACTCATATCAGTGCAACCACTGTTTCTTGTAGGCAAATGTTAGATGCGATCAAAAGGATTTTTCGAGATGTGCCATCGTGCCATCAGCTACTTTACAAAATCTGCGTATTACCTAAGATGGACTACGGTAGTGCAGTATTTGATTCCAAGTTTTCCACCCTGCTGCAACCCTTAGAAAGTGTCCAACAACTTACAGTCCATATAATCTCAAGACTTCAATTACTATAATAGTAGGCGAACTCTTGTATTGAAGTGTAATCCACCGCACTTATAGAAGAGACGCTAACTTTTTCACTTGACTAAATCGCATTTTATTCGCAATCTTTTCTTGTCTTATCCGTATCATCATCAGGAACAGGATCCTGGAATCTTCGACCCCCGGAATAAATTGCAATGCAACATTTCCGCGAAGAAGGAAAGAGAAGAGTCGGGATTTTGTTCGCGGAAATGTCGTGTCACGGGTTCTGCACTGCTATAAAAATCCTGATTATACAAAACAATGCCGATAAATAGTGAGCTTCAGCTTATCATGTAGAGAAAATCGGTCAAACACGATAAGCAATGAAACTGGATATCGTGTAACTGTATCACACAATGACTATTGTTTTATAACTTTATTGATTCATAGTAGAAAAGGCCAGCGACAAGGTCATTTTAGGCCTAATGACTATTAACCCCATAACTTCACTCAAGTTTGAAAACATGATATGCAAAATACAAAATCAGACTCATTTATTCTTCTTTTCTAATAAACAAGTCTAAGATTCTGTCCCAGGATCCTGTCCATCCTTCAGAATGGGAAAACTACACTCCTCTTCCAATTGCTTAAACTTTGTTAGCTTATATAAACTTCTTATTTTAAAAAATTGTATTGGATTGCGGTTTTCGTAGAAGAAAAGTATTTATGCTTAGGCAAAACATGATCCACACAAGCCGGTACCTGTACGAAGTTTGCAGGTGATCGGTACCGTTATCGCATTTTTGATACCGGTTACACCCCTGATACCTCTGATCGAAAAGTCCCAAGTGAGATTGATAATTATTCTGGCACAATTACTAGAGATGAAAAGTCCATTTTACAAAAAACATGCTGAATTGAGTCTCACACTACTGATTAGAAAAACTAAGATTTAATGAACCGAGACAAAGTTGAATATCTGTTATTGGTTAAAGAGTCTCTCTTAACAGCATCACTCAATCCTGACTTGAATCGTACAGTTAGATATATATCTTTTATTGTATTCCTGATGGTCTTTCTCGTAGAAAAAAGAAGAAGAATCCAGGCGGATAGAGAAAGAACAGAGTAGCGTGAACGATAATAGAATTGCTGGCTGACTGCTTAATAGTAACACACACTATATAAAGAAATTTTTGTCTCCGTCTTTTTCATAATGTTTCATGTGTAAATTACGATAATGTTGTATATTTTTCTTTGAAAATGACTATAAGAAGAGTCGAAACTTTAGATTTTTAATTAAAGAAAATTTGAATTTAATCGTTGCTAGTTTGACCGATCAGAAAAAAATGAGATTAAGAAAGTAGATGCAACGATGAAATTATTCTTCAAATATCAAGGATGTATATTTTACATTATTTATTCTTAGCAACATTACTGTCCATCTTTTCAGGTGCCTAAGTGTTTCGTTACACTCTGTGTCTAGCAGCCGTTGCTACCGCACGTGAGTATTTGTAGGCAAAAAACATCGACAATCATTTGAAAGCACCTTTTTGTTTAACACGTTATTTTTTAGAATTTCAGGAAATCCCTAAAACTCCTTCATAGCGGAGGATTCGGAGTTTGGCAAATCCTCACATTTATTCAATGCTTTGGAGGCTATCGAACGCCTTTTTAAAAAAGCTTGATCTCTTTCCTGAAGCTTTTTTTTCAGATTTTAAAAGTGAATTTTCAAAATTTTAAAATATAATTCAAAAATCAGGATTACGTCATTTTTTCCTACAGTCTTCCTTATCATCACTTGATGCATGATTTTTCACGCGAAGATTTTCGCAATGTATTTTAAGGCCTATTTTCAAGCACTCGTTTACTGTACGTCGATTATGAAATATAAATATTTGGATTAAAAAAAGAATCATATTAGATAGAAACTGAGAGATAAGAACGTTTAACTTTTTTGCCTGGGTGGTTGTTGAGGATAAGTATACGGTGGTGGTGCAGTTTCACCGTACGTCGGTGCCATTGGCATCATTGTCTGATTATGATTATAAACAGCATACGGTTGATTGAGACCGGGCTGTCCAGCAAAAGCAGATTGTCGAAGTCTTTTACGTCTATAATATTGTTGAACGAAAAAAATGATGAAACTAATAAGTAGGATACCGCCAAGTATAGGTAAAATAATAGACAAAACGAATCCGGTCCCATATCTATATTTACATGTTTTTGATTTTTTATCGCAATACAGGTGCGACCAACACATGTAGTCATAGTCACAATCTCCATTTTCACTTCTTTGAAATCGGCAGGTATAACCACGATCCTTATCACAATAGCTTACTGAACCACATTCTCTCGGATGAATATCCATACCTGAACAGGAATAACCTTCGTATTTCTGTGGTTGACATTCACCATCCTTGCAATAATATTGGCATCGACTATCATCGTAACATGGACAACCATCGGGACATAGAGCACTTAGATCACTGGCAAGTATGAAGAGAATGACAATAGAATTGATTAATAGCAAATTCCACATCATGCTTTTCTCCGTCTTGCTAAAAACACAATTATGAAAAAGGACAAGGTTGATGTTTTGTGTGTAAATATATCATAGTTTACTGGTCTTTAACACATCTATTATAAAAAGAGTGATATAACTTTTCTTTTCTCTCTTATCATCAAATATTGACTTAATGAAAAATATCTCTCATATATTAGTGTTGGTTAGTCCACGAGCAGTGGCAACACATACATGACGCATCGTTTATTCAAGAACAAAAACATGCACCTATATACGCATATTCTATAGATAAAGATTGACTTAAGAATAAATTAATAAATGAACTTAAAATATTCAGTATATTACTAATACCTCCACCTCTTTTTTAAGGGTGGGTGTAAGATGAGCACGAAGAAATTTGAGCACAGAAAGTTGAGCACTGAACACATGAGCACAAATTTATAGTTTATCCATTAAACTTTTTGCATTATAAACAGTTGAAAAAATTTAAGAGAAAGTTAATTTAATCAATTTATTTAATATACTGTTATCGAAAAGTTGACACTATAGGAAGTTTAATAATTTGTTGAAAACAAACAGTTGCAAAAATTTAAAATAAAGTTGCTGACAATTTAATCAATATATTATTAATTGGGATAATTGATGTAAATTCAATATACTATTATATATTTATAACTTTTTTCGCAATTCACTTTCACTATTCAATTTCACTTCTCAACTCACTTTCTCTTTTTGAAAAAAATATCTCTACAGCAACATCTATATCAATATCATGTACTACTAAACAAAAACCTCGTGTTGAACTCCAAGGTTTTTCGTATATAAAAGATCAATTTCCTGAAAATAAAACATATTGGCGTTGTGTATATTATAATTCTCAAAAATGTCATGCTCATCTTCATACATGTAATATTACCAATAATGTTATAACTGCACCTTCTGATCATACATGCAAAATTCGCAAAATCCAATGGCCGTTCAGCTTCAAAATTTTATCAGAGGTCGATCATCGAAAAAGAAAATCGAAATGTTTTTGCTCAAAATTTTGTGTCATGCTCATCTACGCAATATTTTTACAAAACGCTGGTTCCATTCAGTCACATTACCGCCCCTCGAAAAAACTGATTCGATCGAGCGTAAATTTTTATCATAGACGGCAGTGCACGATAGGGACGTACTAAGTTACTCAATAAACTTTCACAAATTTTTCTCAAATTTTCACAGCAGATAGATAAATGTGTTGTGAACATTTTTGTCTCTTGACATTTTTTTCCTAAAGTGCTTTCACCCGCTTGCAAAAAAGGTCGTAAACTATGGAAAAACAGCGATTTTCCAGTGTGCTCTCTTCGGTTTCGTGAAGCAGACCCAGAGTACTACCATGAACCGCTGTCGACTTTTTGGAGAAATTATGCAAAACGCTCGGGGTGAAAATTTTTCTTTTTTTAAAACCCATCAAATTATGCGCCGTTCGACGCAGAATTTCATTCTACATCTGAATATGTATAAATAAGGATTTCACAGTGCATAGGAAAGGAGAACAATGCCAAAAACTTGGATAAGTTTTTCGGAAAACAGTTTTCGAAAGTTATCTCAAAATTCAGCCATTTTCGTCGACTAAACAGTTTTTCTGGTTTAATAGCTTAATGCAAAATTCAGTTTTCTACCGATCTGCGCAAACCGCAGATTTTTAACACTAAACTACGATTTTTCAGGGATGTTTTTCCGAAGCCCTCGATATTTCGCTTTTGCAAACCTTTTAAGAAAAGAAAGAGACATGGACCAGAAGGAGAATTTTACGCGAATTCCAAATATTACTTTATTCTTGAATGATAACCTTTGCTTTACTCTGTGGTCTCAATTCCTTTTCCCCAACTTTTACAATTACATAATTGTTCCGAAAACCCTTGGAAAAACCGAAGCTTTTGGCGTTTTTCTCCTTTGCTATGCACTGTGAAATCTTTATTTATAGATATTCAGATGTAGAATGAAATTCTGCGTCGAATGGCGTTAAATCTAATGGGTTTTAAAAGAAAAACTTTCAGGATTTTCCGACCGTTTTGGGCAAGAACTCCCGAGTGTTTTCCGTCATTTCGCCCAAAACTCGACGGCGATACATAGTAGTACTCTGGGTACTTCACGAAACCGTATTGACTAATAAACTGTTTCTGGAGAACGCTTAACTTAAACAAGTTCAAATTTGTATCATGAATAATACTCATAACAAGACAGCTCATTAGCATTTGATTTGACGCATTCGAGAAAGCCTATAGATTGTCATGCATTGTTGGTGTGAGCATGGCAGGGGAGCAAGTAAACTTTCTGCAATAGAACAACTGCTGAAACCTGGCTTGTGAACGGTCATTCTGAAAAAAAGAGGATAGAAGAGGATGTTCTAAATTTTTTTGGGGAGGATTGATACAGAAAAAAGAGCAGAAAAAGAGGATTTTTTTCTGATCTAAAAGTGTATTGTAGGTCTTAGTATGTTCGGAGGTAATAGCATAGGCAAAATTTTCGAAATCGCTCTCTTTCCGTATTTTACGACCTTTTTGCAAGCGCTCGAGCGTCGAGGCACAGCACTTTGGAAAAAAAAGTCAGGAGAGAAAAATGTCCAGGATACATTTCTCCATCTGCTCTGAAAATTTGAGAAAAATTTGTGAAAGTTTATTGAGCACGCTATGATGAAAAGTACGTTTCTATCGTGCACTGCCTAGAGATGGGCATCGGGACTAAAAAAATTTTCTGGTCTCGGTAAAAGATTTGATTGCCGTTCCATCACCTTCACGGTTAAAATATCGTATGGCCGTGCATTTTGTAGAGAAATGTTTGCTCTTTCAGATTATATATTCTAAAATATTTCTCGAGTCTCTTTTATCAATCAATTTAACAAATACATGACCGGGACCAAGATCACCTGGACCGACCGGGACCAATCTGGTCCCGATCATTGTATTTGTCAAATTAATTCGTAACGAAGGTCTGTAGTATATTTTAGACTATATAATCTGAAAGAGCAAACATTTCTCTACAAAATGTACGGCCAAATGATATTTTAACCGTGAAGGTGCTGAAACGGCAATCAAATCTTTTACCGGGACCAGAAAATTTTTTTAGTCCCGATGCCCATCTCTAGCACTGCCTCATAGATAGTTCAGGTCCTATCTCAGGTGCTGAAGCTTTTCTTGAAGATGTGTTTTCCTTCTCGAGATATTCGAAAAAAACCGAAAATTTATTTTTATATAAAAATTCAGTCTTTACTTTAAAAATCTTCCTAAGTCGAAAACTCTTTAGAAAAATTTAGAACCTAAGATAGAGTCTTAAGTATCTGTAGTAAAAATTCGATGTAATTTAAATGTGAAAATAAAAATTGTTTCACTAGTAAAAAAAAATGCAAGAAATACTTGTATGTTTAGGTATGACACATGTAAAATTAGATGAAGATGACGATTTTAGAGAATAACAAAACCGATTTACTAATGAAACACAAATACCCAGGTCAAGCAATCCTACTAGGTTTCGACAAGATCCTATAACGCTAATGGTCAAACCGGAGATGTGAATACAAGAACGGACAAAATTGATTCGACCATTCGAAAGGACGGTGCCGATTACCTATACAACCGCAGTTGTACAAAGCTTAGATTCGTTCAGTCGCCGTTCGACAGTTCTACTTTTTGACACACAGCTTTCGACACTGTCGGATTTTTCACTCGTAATTCGATAGATTTTTCGCTTCACTTCTCTACTAGAGAAGCAAAAGCGTAAACGCGTGGAGGCGTAGACAATCCCTACGCACCATTTCACTATGTCTCTAGGAAAAAACCATCAACAATCTTCGGGGCTTAGTAGCTGGACATTGAACGCGATCTGATGACTCACTCTCATGCCCGCCTGCCCTCCCCTGCCGAACTGCGAAATTACGCTTAGATTTTAATCTAGGCTCGAAAACTTTTTAAATCTCTATCTCGCAGCATTTGGAAACCACGGAAAGCGAACAAGTGATAAAAATAAATAGGAAAATAGTCATGAGATTGACTTTTTGATATTTGGCATGTCTAGATAGAGCTTAAGTCGTTCTTTCAGAGAAACCCGTTTGCGAACGATAGAACGTTTCTCTGTGACATCAGGATGCGAACAAACTGTTTGCATATTTGATGAATTCCGTGACGAAATTTCCTTTTTTTACGTTGTATACGCTCAGATCATCAACTTTGAAAATACTAACCTGATATTCTGCTAAATCTCCTCGTCCCCTACCTGCTGAACCAGTCGTTTTTGGATTTTTGTTGGATTTTGAGTGTGAAAACAGTAAAAAACGTCGTCATGGAATTTCATAATCTTACGATAGTTCAGTTTTAGGTAAAGTTTCGATCCACTTTTTCCCATTTTCTTGCATTATAAACTTCGAAAAAGTACATTTTCGTAATCAGCATTGAATTCTGAACAAACTGGCGCATTCAATTTTTAAAACAACAACTTTCATTTCTGGCTCGATTTCTAGCCCATTGGAACACAAGATTTTTCGACCACTCATTTAGAAGTAAAATATACTTCTTTATATATACTTTATATATATATACTTCCATTAATATCATAATAATAAAATTTCGATAAGATCTGTTTCGTTATCATATGCGCTGGTTATATTAAAAGTCATTTTAAAAGATACGGGTAAATATTTTTTGAATAACTTTTAATAGATACAAGATAGAGAACTGCAGCTTTCACCGTTAGAAAGAGGAGATAAACGCGGATCGAACAGTATATCCCAGGGTTTTGTAAAGTTTTCAGTTGGTCTTTTTACGAACAAACCTATCTGGTAAGTTGTTTACAGTGAATTTTCAATTATCAAGTATCAATTCAAACTACTAATCGAAGATCTATAACGTGCGGAAGGCTGAGATGAAAAATATGTATTCTAGTCGATCCTGTAATACGATTTTCTAGGAAAATTTGTGAAAAGGCTCACTTTTGTCCGTTTTACTTTTTTCATAAAAAAAAACATTTTTCCGACAGTTAGA